AATAATTCAAATGTAGTCCTAAAAGAAACGGATGTGAAAAAAAGAAAAATCAAAGAAGCGGCTCTAATTATGCTAAATGAGGCCAATTGTGTCTCAAATTCCTCGTTAGACTGTAGTAGGATCTGGTTACCAATATTGAAAGAGGAAGTTATTAATAAGAAAATATCAATATTAGTAAGTCAGTAACATATAGAGGATACATCTTTTATGTTTTTTAAATAACAAAACATATAAAATCAGATTTTGGTGTTTGTTGAGGGTAAACTAAATTCATGAACAAATACTTACAATGTCGGGATAGTATTATGAGGTTTTTTTTCCTGGTTTTTCCCTCATAATTTACTATGGAATCACTAACAGGAGAATTTTACTGTCATCATGTCATGTGTTTGTCTTTTTAAAGACGAATTACATGCTATGATTTTTTTCTGACGGATATTCTCAAGTTAAAGTTGATTTCATTTAATCGAATGAACTATCTTATAAGTAAAGTCGTCCCAGGAGCGCAACTCAACAATATTGGCAATATCATTTTAAAGTCATCTACTTTAAAATGCATAATGTATGTCTAAATTGTCAATATAAATGAGTCAGATAAAATTAAATTATTAGAAGAATTTTTCACTATGTAACAAAAAACAAAATTTGTTTAATTTACTGTTTGTATTTTGAGAACGATTTCCGAAGTGGAAATTGAAACGTCAATAAACGTATTTTTTATCTTTAATTGTGGCTTATTCCCAGTCAAACAGTATTTAATTTACAATGCCACAAGAAAATAGCTTCAGAACATATTCATTATATTGTTGAGCTACAAAATAAAAGTTAAAATATTATTAAAGCAAGTGTAATTCACTGTAATAGTATCAGCAGCAGTACCATCAGCAAAACTGAATCACAGCCATATATAAGCAGTATTGTTGGGCCAACAAAGGACCAGATAAACGGAACTTACTTAAACAATGTGGCCAAGAGCTTACTTAACTTAATCTTATTCATGTTAATTACAGAATTACAGTATAGTAGATCATTCTTTAAAAGTTCACAGGACGAGTATAAATTTATTAAAAAGTAATCGACACCATGACGGTTAATCTGCTGTAGTTATAAACAATAAAAAACCAGCAAATAAGAAACGGCATAAGCAATAAAGCTTTTATTTTACTAAGAAAAAAAGAACGCTAAAATAACCCAATATGCTAAGAAACAGTGAGTTGTCCTCGATAAAATCCGTTTTATCATCCAAAAAATACATTTTAACAAAACCTCACTCGTGAACATAATAATGTATAAACTTGAGTTTAAGTAAATTGTGCGTATAAATAAAACTTTTTGTTTGAATTACAGTCCCAAAAAAATAAAACTCAGCAATATTATCTACTTTAATAACCCCTTCTGTGGCTCAGTGGTAAGAGCGCCTGCCTTTAAACCTAAAGATCGTGAGTTCGAATCCCACCTGGGTGGAAATTTTCGTTTATTAAAAAAATTAATAAACGAAAATAATTTCTATCCTTGTGTGATCGGTACACACCGGAGGGACCGCAGACGTTCGGATACAATTAGCGTCTCTTAGCAAAGACAATGACGTCGACTTTGCTAAGTATGAAGACAATTACTCTACACACACACACACACACACACACTACACCTCAAATTGTAAGATTGGCGAATGGATATAGTGTCCGCAGTCATTTAAACACAAACAAACAACAAATCTACTTTAATATAAACTTCGTACTGGGAAATGTGTTTTTGTTACTGAAAGTAATCAATCTTTAGGTACTTTAGGAACGTACTTAAGGAAAGTAATCAATCTGTTAACACTTTGAATTTTCACTCGATGTCAATGTGTTACAACACGACAACGTTTTAAATATTTTGACTCATGCGCAAAGCGGAGAGCAGAACTGTGTCTTTTTAGCCGCTACTCGGATCCATCACCATTAGTCTGTGCGCTGGTTCTGTGGGCTTTCTACTTAATCCAGTTTAGACTCCAGGTCATTTTCTCCGGCTTCTAATAGGTCGTTTTGAAATTCAAAATCATCAGCTTCAGATCCTGAGCCTATTATATCAGCATCAGAGTCAAATTCTTCATAGAGAGCTAAAAGCCTACCTTGTACTTTTTCCCAATATTTCGTTTTATGCCGGTAATATCATTATAAATTTTTGTTATATTATTAATTATTTAATTAAAATTAAAAGAGTAACGGCCATATTCACCAACAACAAATAAATCTACAAATAGTTATTTGACGAATAAGGCTATTTGTAGTTGGTGAAATAAAATTGATAGAATCTATTCTAGGCATAAAGACATTATTCGAATAGAAGTTTATTCGTTGTTGGTGAATACGAGTCTAAGTATTAATAATTTGTATTCATACACATTAGACGAAATAGTTAAAAAATTACTCAAAAATCCAAAAGATTAAACTTACTTGTCACAAAAAAAAAAATCTTTCTTTTTCTGGTGGAGTCTGACAACCCAGGCGTTGCTCGACAGTTACAATTGCACTGACTACGGGTGTCTTTGCTCAACGTGGGTAGATAGTTGAAGTAGATACATGTCATGGTACAATGAATACAATATTGCGCATGACATTTGACAGCTGGCCCAGGAGTGTGACGTAGTCAAGACCTCTCGAAATGGCTCGAACCCATTATTACAGCTTAACGTATACATGAATTTTGAAATTATGGTCAAAAAATGATCGAGTTTTTTTTTAAATGTTTTGTTTTGGTTATAATTAAATAAAAAATATATTTTCAGTAGCGTAAAATCTTTACTTTTCCTGGGGATTCAGGCGAAATATTTATTTTTGTTTTCATACATATACTTATAATATAAGCACCCTTTTTGTATACAAATCCGGTGAAATTTAAAAATTTTGTGCAGAGGAAATACTGTAAATGGGTAAATAGTAGTAGATTTGCGTATCCTGATTCACTGTCACTCATTTCCAAGCAGTTTTACTGAAGTAAAAACAAAATAGATTACAATAAAGAAAAATCTGATTTATTATTTAATATGGTATTTTAGATGAGTTATAATGAAATTTAGTAAAATAAAAAATATACACATTAAGTACTATATTTTTATATTATATAATTAGTTCAAACACAAAACACAATAAATATCGACTTCAGACGACTTTACACCGACAAGACAGAAGGCTTGTATATAAACAAAAGTTCGACAATATCGGTTATCAATGGTGACGACGCAAATTGCAAGTTATTAGATAATAAATATATTTTAGGGAGTGGACTTAAACCAGGAAAAAATTGTTTAAAAAACCTATTAAAATCAGCTAATAATGTTGATTGTGACGATAATGTAAAGACACTTTTCTTTAAATCAATAATTTATTTCAGAATTAAGGAGTTAAATCTTCGTTTAAAGGACAGTAAGGCAAAAATTAAAATAAAAATGTCAAAAATTGTAAAATAATGCTTGTCCAAAAAAATTTTCTCTTTTTCTTATTCTTCTAATGGCACTACAACCCTTTGTTGGTCTTGGTCTGCTTAACAATGTACTCTGCTTCACCACTGCCTGATGTTCATGGTTTGAGGATCTTCCTCTATATCCTCTATCCACCTTTTATTGGGCCTACCTCTTGTCCTATTTGCTTGGTGTTTTAATCTCTGGATTAATTTAACAGCTCGATTATCTGGTATTCTTTTTAAGTGGCCAACCGGGTTTAGTCTTTGTGACTTTATAAATCTAACTATATCTGCGCTCTGCAGTAATTTATCCAGCTCTGCATTAATTCATTTTTATTCTTCATGAACCATGGCTAATTTTGAATGTTTGTTATGTGTTAAAAATAGGTGATTTTAAAATCATTTGGATAAACTGAGTGATGTCCATAGTTATGCAACTAGAAAAAACTCCATCTTTCATTTTGTACATTAACGAAGACCCAGAATTCATATGAATATATCAGTTTAAAACTTTTTAACATGTTACTGTAAAATTGTTCTTTTTTAAGACAGCAACCTTAAATGGTTCTTTAATATCGATTTGTTAAGTCAGAAACTAGACTCACCCTGCTATGCAATTTGCAATAAGAACTGTTTCAGAGAAAATCAATTTAGCATTTTCCAAAATAACATATTTTTCTTTGTTAAATAATGTTTTCATTATTAAAATATATATTATCATTATTATAAACAATACCAAGATAATGTTATGTGTGAATATTGAAAAGATATCATTTACAATATCCTGCAATATTGTGTGACCTCACTACACTCATATTCGCTGCCAAGCTAGCTCATCCGATCCAGTAGGTATATACGTACAAATTTTGTGTACTTTCATTACCACTTTTTTGTATCTTTTTAAACATCTGAAATATTTAACTCTGGAGTATAAGTGATTAATCTGTACCTACGTGTAATAAAAGATGATTAAAACTTCTTGTTTTATAAAGGATATCTATGTTAACAAAATAACTGTACCGAAAGTCAGTACACTTAAATTAACTTAAAAATTTTATTTATGATTAAATATTATATAATTTATTAAATTACATAATTTTATCATGTTTTATAATTACTATAATTAAATTAGCTAAATTATATAAAAAAACTTAAAATTAAAAAGTCTTTACTATACAACTACATTCAAATGTTGCGGGAATAAACGGTCTTGACTACGTCATGCGCGAAAGCGATACGATGTTAGACCATTATGTATCCATACCTTGTATTCATTGTACCAAGGATACATATAAATGGCTCTTAGATATTTGCACAAAAATCATACCAGGCCCTAGACCCCACCAGACTAACGCAGCGTTCACTTCTCGTGATATATTCTATATTGCTTAGCATAGAGTCTATTTTACTATAGAAACCTTTCACTTTGATTGTTTTATTAAAAGTGTTGTAGATGAACATAATAATAATCTTGATTCCAAATATCCTTAGCGGGTATATTATCTTATATATTAGTTTTGCTGTAAATGTAAATTAATTTTTCTAAATGATTTTAGGTGCAGTATGCGACCAGTCAGACAAGTGGAAGATTTCTTTTTATTCTTCGAATTGCATCCTTGCTCGATGCCATTATATGGATCATACTTTAGAGATTTGCAGAACTTCAAGCTAAGTCAGCCACCAAAATACTATATTGTGAGCCGGTGTTATTGTCCCGAGGAGGTGCTTTATATAGATCAAATGGTCACCGGAACAATAAACTTCGATGATGACTATAATATAGAATTATCTAATTTAACGTACAATAAGGTTGATGTTAATAAACAACTAAAATGTATTCTCGCGACACTAGAACAAACAACTGAGTGTTCCAGTTGGAAGCCTGTTCAGATAAAGAAATATTAATTTTTATAATTTATTAAATAGCAAATAAAAAAATTATTAAAAATGTATGTTTTTTTTATAAGTTTATTCTTATTGATAAATTGTAAAATTTTATTAAACATGTTAACTAGGTATAAAATATTCTCAAACTGTTTTTTGTTTCATGTATAAGTTACATATATTATTTTTATATAGGATTAAGCCACAACTGATTGTATTTTTTTGCGGTGTTTGTATACTGCTATTTGGTCACAAATGACCAATTATTAGTTATTTTCTGACTTGACTTAATAAAAATCAAACTTAAATCTAAGGGCTTACCGTACGACTTCCTCTTATTTTATCTATCAACAAATGCACTAAAACTAACATGCTAACATCACAGCACTATACTCTGCTTTTTACACTCAACTGTTACACATTTACACTAACTTATATAGTTTTGTCCTTATGAGTCGTCTCTTTAGTTCAGTGTTGTCAAGAATCCGGATTGCCTCGACCTTCACATGACTATGCAGCCTCTGCTCGTGACCTGCTGCTGTTCTCTTGATTACTTCGGTCACAGTTTCCATACTGGTGAACCTGATGAAGGTTACTGTTACGGACATACCAAGGAGCATCAACAATGTTCCTTAGTACTTTGTTTTGAATTCTCTGGATAATATGTAGATTACTAGCTTTGGTACAGCCCCAGAGGTGGCACCTATAAACCCATATTGGCCTCAGTACTTGCTTATAAATGGATAATTTGCTATGAATGGATAATGTTAATCTGATGTTGCATAAGGAACTTATGCGACTCCCTTAGCGACAAACCGTCGCCGAGCTAAGCTATGTTTGCGTCGTTCTAAAGACGACAGGGCCGTCTGCAAACCGTTTAAAGCTTTAACATCCTGCATCATTTAATTCTCTGAAGGTTTTATCACAATCCACCAAAACTCATCCAATTTGTCGTCTTCTTTAAGTACTAGGTTACGCACCTTTTTCTGAATTTGTTTTTAAGACTGAAGTCCTGTGCTTTCGTAAACAGCTTTAGGAACTTCCATTCTCCTTCTTAGGTTTTAATTGTTTGGAAAACATTTTTATTTATCAAGTTTCAAATAATTTAATTTATCATGTTACTAAAATATCTATCAATAAGTAATAAAAACGGTCAAAAATAGGGAGCGGTCAAAATTACCGCTCTGATGTTTCTAGTGCTAAACAATCCATTGTAGTATCACCAGTCTAAATGTTTTCACCCACTTTCCAACGATGGCCGTTGTTTGCTTCAAAACACATGAGAGCCGGTAGCAGTTTGGACGTCTTTAAACCTGAGATTCCTTTTCACCTATCCAGCTTTATTGTACCTTACAACACATACACTTTAACATACAATGTGCAACAATCCAATCGGTTTCAGTACATAAAAAAATCTCTATATGCTGTGACTGTTATTATGATTGTAAAAAGTGATGAACGCGTTAATTAAATATATGGAGGATGCGCTAATACAAATACTGTGTTTATATGGGATTAGACCAAAGTTATTATTGATTGTAATGAAAATTACATTTTTAACTAAAAAATTTGACGTTTCGATTTCCACTTCCAAAATCGTTTTTAAAAAGATTATTAAAGAATTTTGTTGAAAAGGGTGTCTAACTGCCAAAGTTGTGAGGGCATAACCGAATAACAACTTTCTATTCTTTGTTTCACGTTAAGAAAATAACATTACGCTTATGGAGATCAGTGTTGCCAAAACTCTCAGACACTCTCTTTTGCACGGATGTCCAAGATATTCCCTTTGCTTAATTTTTGAATTTTCATTTTCAATTAATATTTAACTGTAAAGTCAGAATAACTACTAAATAAAAGCCTTATTATCATTATGTAGTCAGAGACGACATAAAATAGCTGACATACGCACATCGTATTATTTTAAGTTGCAATTAGTAATTAGATATACGCATTCCAAGCGGTCAATATTATCTACTGATTTATATGATTCATGGCATATCGTATTCTCACCGAAAAACAAATAAACTGTCGTTACTATAATTAAAATAAGATAAAATAAAATTATCTTTTGTAAATACTATTTATCTAATTAAAATCATTTTCCCTACTTTTCATCTCTTGTTTCGAATGGGCACTTTTGGTCAATTACGTTAAAAAACATTAATTTAATTCATGTTTGTGGAAACGAAAATACAAATTATACAACCCTAAATTGTGCTTGTGTGTGTCGTGGCAACGCCGCGTTGCTATCGTCCATAAGAAATACATGGCCCTATCTTCGCAATGTTATTTTCTAAACGTGAAACGTAGTATAGATTGGACACTCTTCTCTGTTAACCCTTTAATCGGCAAAATAGAAATCGGGGGTTTAACTTTCTGAAAATTTTGGTTTCAGGGTAATTTTGGTATACGAAATACGAATGAAAAGTCCATTTCTCGATATCTTTATTAGCCACAAAGTGAAAAAGAAGAATGCCGCCCATATGGCCGCTATATCGTTCTACAGGGAAAAATGAACTAGTGCTTTTTTGCTGCTTATAAAAACATTTAAATTTTTATTGATATAAACTTAAAAAGTTTATAATATAATAATTATAAACTTATAATTAAGTTTATAATTATTAAACTTAATAGTAAACAATTAATAGCTAATAACTAATAAATGAAATACACATTAACGACGGACGTGGTAGCGTTTCCAACAATTTTGGCACCGGAATAATATAAACGCAGTTGACATTTCGGGCAGAAATTGTGTATCTCCGATATCTTGCAGTATTTGCAGGACTTTTTACGGCCTGGAGTCCATTCAGGAACATGATCTACTCCGTCATACCGTACGTCTGCAACAAGATGCGCCGCCTTTCTACCAGCATTAGTACTATTAGTAGGGAGCGGTGAGTTTAATGTCGAGTAATGGGTCTTTTCTGAACAGAAGAGCACATACCTTGAGCAATTTTCACCCGAAATTGGAATAGTCTCATATTTTTTTCTTGTGAAGCTTCTTATTCTCTGAAATCTGTTTTCTTGGCATCTTCATTATATGATCTGCGATACAAAATGAACGCATTTTTGACAGCCATATCCAGAAGATGGTAAAAAAAGCGTGTCATTGCATTCATTGTTTTAATGCGCAGTCCACTTCGTCCCATATGCGAGTCCATGAGGTCAACTCCACCCATATGCGAATTGTATTTACGAATTTTTTGGGGGTAGTCAACATTATTGTATTCTTTCTATTTTTTTTGTCGTAACGAGTCGTTTTTGCTATCTGTTTGTCTGAATTCCATTTTCGGAAACGGTTTCACCCCAACGTAAGTTGAACAAAGTTTTATGTTCTTGGTGTCTGTCCAGAGGACAGTGGTAAGATCCACACCATATGCAGAACTCATATACTCCACTTCATAACCTCGTTTCGTGTCTTTGATTTCTCTATCTGTAGTTAGAAGCGGAAGTTTACTTGGGAATTCGATTTGCACGTATTGTCCCCAACCCGAAAATTCCACGAACTCGTAAATAAACTAGAAGAGGCAAGGATGTGTAAAAATTATCACAATATATAATATGATTTTTGTAATTTGGAATTGTTTGTGATCACCGAATAACAACGTTGCTGGTAGCTCCGAGGTCTAGTGTTCCTGGCACGATGATGTTATCTCGAGTACCATTATATATCTCAAATTGGTATGAATATCCTGTGGTATTGCACAGTACAAACAACCTAATTCCCCATTTATGAGGTTGTTCGGCATGTACTGGCGTAAATGGTGCCCCATTTTTGTCGAACACATTAGCTCGTCAATACATAACCGCGCATTCTTTGGAACGGATTTTAATTGAATTTAAAATATTAACAACTTTCCTGATTATAAAAAGCGAATCATATCCATGTTGTCCTTTTGGGATACGTTCTGCTTCATTAGCAAAACAAACACAAATTTCTTCAGTGGCATACACTGAGGAATTTGTCTAAATCCGAATTCCCCCCAGTGTGACTCCATATTGGGATAACGAAAAATGGACATGTATAATAGAATTCTTGTCGATCGCATCCATGCCTGAAAACAGAAAGAAAAAAATTAGTGTTGCATTATGACTTTCCATGTTTTATTAGCATACCTGTGCCAGTAAAGCCACACGCTGATGGTACTATTTGCGGTCCCGTAGCTTCTACAGTTGGTAACGGGGATCTGGGTCTTTTCTTTGGTTTGAACTTAGTGGTTGTTGCTAGTTGTGTGGAAGTTGATGCAATTGGTTCTTTTGATATTAACGGTACGGGAGATACTGAAACGTCTATTTGAGTATCCGGATCAGTTGTTGAAACTTTTGGTGTTGTAGTTTTTGGTGTTATAAGTTCCGGAAAAGTTAATGTTGCTATTTCAGAAGTAGATATATTTACATGTGGTTCTGAAACACCCACTAAACATTCACAACATTAGTGAGATTACTTAGTTCCAACGAAAGGTTGATGGAGAGATCCAAATCAATGATATTTTCATGTAAACAAGGAGCAATCATCTCATCGTTCTCGGCTGTGAGCACATCCACCTTGTAGTCATAATCCGGATCGGCTATGCTATCATCATCATCTTCGTAAACTGACTCGTCATCTGAAGCAAGATTAGAGTTCAAGATCTCGTCGATTTGTTCATCGGTTAATGTGGAAAGATCGTATTTTGTTCTTTTTTCCGCTTTTGTCAGCTCGTGATACCTTTTCGCATCATACTTTTTTCGTGTTTGAGATCTATTCTTTTCCATGGTCTACGATAGAAAGAAAAAAATGTATAAATAATACAAATATGTAGTTTTATTCAAATACGCGAAGGAATTATTTTTACCGTACACCGACAAGCCGGCCAAAAGGCGGGTATCACTCAACATTCAAAAAGTAGCACTAATTTTGCATTTCTCATCAAACACGCTAGCAAACTATCAAACAAATACTATAAGTACTTACCAAAAAAAATATTAGATCAATTGGATAAGTAGAATTATTTTATTGTACGGTTCGATTCCACGTGTTCCAGAGAAATAATTTGTATGTAAGATTAACTTACTTGTTTATACGTAACTGGCTATATCTCTCAAGTAACTGAACCTACAACTTTTAAACCGTTACCGTTGGTCGACTCTATTCTTGCCCAAAAGCGGTGCAGTCGATGTGAGAGCAAAAAATTTTTATAATTTAAAATAATTCGGATATTTTAATGCCGGCCTTATGGCGGGATTACCGTTTAAAGGATTAAATAATTATTGTTTTTTGAAAACGATTTCTGGAGTGGAAATCGAAACGTAAATTTTTTAGTAAATA